TGTCAATGGACACTAGCCTCAGAACAGAAGTGATTAGAATTTGCCCATTGTTGGGCTTTGGAAGTCCAGCAGTGAGTTCTAAGACAAAGTCCTGTAGCCCCTTGCTGTCCTACCCAAGTGGAGATTGCCACCCTGACTGGCCCCAGGCTGGTAACAAATACACTCTCTAGATTATTCATAATACCTAATACAGGGCCGGCGCCGCGGCTCACTAGGCTAATCCTCCGTCTTGGGGCGCCGGATTCTGTCCCGGTTGCCCCTCTTCCAGGCCAGCTCTCTGCTGTGGCCAGGGAGTGCAGTGGAGGATGGCCCAAGTGCTTGGGCCCTGCACCCCATGGGAGACCAGAAGAAGCACCTGGCTCCTGCCATCGGATCAGCGTGGTGCGCCGGTTGCAGCGCACCGGCCACGGCGGCCATTTGGGGGGTGAACCAATGGCAAAGGAAGACCTTTCTCTCTCTCTCTCACTCACTGTCCACTCTGCCTGTCAAAAATAAATAAATAAATAAATAAATGAAAATAAAAAAAAACCTAATACAGTTCTGTATAAATAGTACTGTATAAATAGTCATTATACTGTATTGCTCAGTAGCAATGCAGTATTATTATAAATTCAAAAAAGGCTATACATGTACAGATGCAGTATTTTCCCCCAAATACTTAGTCCTTGGTAGAAACCAAGATATGGAACTCAGGGATACTGAGGGCCATCTGTATGTATTTAATATTCATTACTAAGCTTTGTTGCTGTCTCTGCATTTGTTCCAACTAAAACTCATTCTCTAGTGAGGTTTAAGTCTCTTGTTCTTTTTGCCTACACTACTCAATGGATTTTCCCCCCTTTTCTCCACATACTGTATCTCCAAATTTATTTTTCAAGATTTATTTATTTATTTGAAAGTCAGATTACAGAGAGGGAGAGACAGAGAGGTTGATCTTCCATATGCTAGTTCACTCCCTAAATGGCCGCAACGGCCAGGGCTGGGTCAGGCCAAAGCCAGGAGCCAGGAGCTTCATCTCAGGCTTCCCTGAAAATGCAGAGGCCCAGTGATTTGGGCCATCTTCCACTGCTTTTCCAGGAGCATTATCAGGGAGCTGGATTGGAAGTGGAACAGCCAGATCTTGAACCGATGCCCATATGAGATTCCAGCATTGCAGACAGCAGCTTTACTTGTTATGCCTCAACGCCAGCCCCTCACATACTATTAATTTTACCAAAATATGTCTCACTGTTGGTCATCCTGATTTTTTCCAAGTGTGTGGTGTGGTCTTTCAATATGTGTTTTCACATTTCTTCTCTTCCCTCCCTCAACTCTCCCTTCCTTCATTCCTTTTTTTTTTATTTTAACAGAAAAAAACTGAACTTTTCTGTTCTCTTACTTGTTTTGTTGCTGTTCTTTGTGTCCTCTTATTATACAAGTGGATTTTCCCTGCCTGTCTTTGTTTTTGTCACATTTTCTCTAATCCTGTTCATCTCTCTCTTCATTTGTATTTTACTTTAAAAATTCCCTCCTTTTTCACTTAAAGCATGTCTGTTACATTTATTCATTCTTGTCCTTATAGTTAATCTTCATTTCTGAATCAGTGTGTCCTGTTTGTTGTTCTTTTCTGTTTTCTATCACCTTGTTTCTGAGACATTATAATTCTTATTTATTTTTTTTTTTACTTCTTGCATCTTTTTTTTTTTTTTTTTAAGTCAGAGAGATATCTCCCATCCACTGGTTCATTCTCCAGATGTACACAGTGGCCAGCAGCCTCCTCTAGGCCTCCCATTTGAGTGCCAGGGCCCAAGCTCTTGGGCCATCTTCCACTGCTTTTTAGGCCATTAGCAGTTAGGTGGATTGGAAGTAGAGCAGCTGGGACATGAACTGGCTCCTATGTGGGATGCCAGCATCACAGGCGATGGTTTAACCAACTGTACCACAACTCTGGCCCCTTCTTGTATCAGTTAAAAAAAATTTCAAGGGGGTGGACATTTGGCACAGCAGTTAAGACAACTGCTGGGATGCACATATTCCGTATTGGAGTGCCTGGTTTAAATTCTGGCTCCATTTCTGATCCAGTTTCCTGCCTGTGTGTACCTTGGGAGGCAGCCAGTGATAGCTCACTCACTTGTCACCTATGTTGGAGACCCAGAGTGAGTTCCAGGCTCTTGGTTTTGGCCTTGCTCAGCCCCAGCTGTTATAGACATTTGGAGGACTGAATCAGCACATAGAAAAAAATTCTCTCTCTCCCTCTCCTCCCCATCTCTGCTTTTCAAATAAAAATCAAAATATTTTTTTAAATTTTAAATAATTTTAAATGGTTTTTACCAGCTTTTGAAGTATTAGTCCATAGTGTTTATTTGTTTTGGAGGCATTTTCATTTCTTATAGGAGTCAGAGGAGGATGAGAACTGGCTGTTTTTTAAAAGGATGTTTTCCTGGTATTGTTTCCTCATGAAATGACTATTTCACCTTATCTCTGTCTGGTGGCTTCATAGTTTGACTTTTGGGAAGCTGATTTTTTTTTGTCCAAAAATTGAATTCCATATTAGTATTTGTGGCAAATACAGGTTGAGAATCTCTAATCCAAAAAATAAAAAATCTGAAATACTCCAAAATCTGATTTTTTTTCCTCAAAAGGCAGAGAGACACAGATAGATAAAGATCCTCCATTCCCCAAATACCTTCAGTAGTCTGGGCTACACCAGGCCAAAGCCAGGATCCAAGAGCTCAGTGCCGGTCTCCCATGTGGGTGGCCAAGACCCAAATGCTTGAGCCATCACCTGCTATCTCCCAGGGAGTACATTAGCAGGAATCTGGTATCAAGAGTGGAACTGGGCCGGCGCCGCGGCTCACTAGGCTAATCCTCTGCCTAGCGGCGCCAGCACACCGGGTTCTAGTCCCGGTCGGGGCACCGGATTCTGTCCCGGTTGCCCGTCTTCCAGGCCAGCTCTCTGCTGTGGCCAGGGAGTGCAGTGGAGGATGGCCCAAGTGCTTGGGCCCTGCACCCCATTGGAGACCAGGATAAGTACCTGGCTCCTGCCATCGGATCGGCGCGGTGTGCCGGCCGCAGTGCACCGGCCGCGGCGGCCATTGGAGGGTGAACCAACGGCAAAAGGAAGACCTTTCTCTCTGTCTGTCTCTCTCTCACTGTCCACTCTGCCTTTCAAAAAAAAAAAAAAAAAGTGGAACTGGGAGTCAAACCCAGACACTGATATGGGATGTGGGTGTCCCAAGCACCATTTAAACCACTATGTGAAATACCCACCCAAATGCAAATATTTTTGAGTGCTAACATGATTCCACAAGTGGAAAATTAATATTCCTGATCTAATATGACAGGTTATAGTCAAAATGCAGGCACACAAGACTGGTGTGTGGCTCAGCAGATTAAGCTACCACTTGCAACACTGGCATTCATATCAGTGTTATTTTGAGCCCCAGCCATTCCACTTTTTATCCAGCTTCCAGCTAATATCCCTGGGAAGGCTGCAGATGATGGCCCAGATACTCAGGTCTCTACCACCCACAGGCATCCTACCACTCGCATTCTCTGTCTCTTTGTCTCCCTGTCTCTCTCTCCATCTCTCATACTCTGCCTTATAAATAAATACATACATACATACATACATACATATGTACATACATACTTTTTAAAAAACACTAAAAATAATGTATTAAAATTGCCTCCAGGCCGGCGCCGTGGCTCAATAGGCTAATCCTCCACCTTGCGGCGCCGGCACACCGGGTTCTAGTCCCGGTTGGGGCGCCGGATTCTGTCCCGGTCGCCCCTCTTCCAGGCCAGCTCTCTGCTATGGCCAGGGAGTGCAGTGGAGGATGGCCCAGGTGCTTGGGCCCTGCACCCCATGGGAGACCAGGAAAAGCACCTGGCTCCTGGCTCCTGCCAGGATCAGCGCGGTGCGCCGGCTGCAGCGGCGGCCATTGGAGGGTGAACCAACGGCAAAAGGAAGACCTTTCTCTCTGTCTCTCTCTCTCACTGTCCACTCTGCCTGTCAAAAAAAAAAAAAAAAAAAAAAAAAAAAAAAAAAAAATTGCCTCCAGATTGTGTGTATAAGGTATATATGAAACATAAATGAATTTTGTATTTAGACTTGAGTCCCACCTGTTCCCAAATTATCTTACTATGTATAAGCAAATATTCCAAAATAAAAAAAAAAATAAAACATCCAGGACATTTCTGGTTTCAAGCATTTTGGGAAAGGGATATTCACCTGTACAACAGCTGAAGGTAAAGGGGCCTTTTCTGTTGCTCTCCCCTAATTCAATTTTAGTAAAAAGGCAATATCATTTCTCGACATTTAGTAGCAGATTCATAGGTATTTGTAGAAAATGCTTGTAAAATAAAGCATTTTCAGTATTGTTTGAAGATAAGATTGTGGCAAGAGTTTTATTCTCTTAGACATAGAAAATGAATGTTATATGATGTTAAAATATAGGTTATTATACTTTGAAAATGACAAATTCAGGGCCAGCACTGTGGTATAAGTAGGTTAAGCTGCTGAGCACTGGCATCCTATATAGTGCTGGTTCAAGTCTCGGCTGCTCCACTTCAGATGCAGCTCCGCTAATGCTCCTGGGAAAGCAGCAGAATCCACATGGGAGATCTGGATGAAGCTCCTGGCTCCTGGTTCCTGGCTTTGAAACAACCCTGGCTGTTTCAGCCATTTGGGGAGTGAAGCAAAGTGAACCAGCGAATAGAAGACTCCTCTCTGCCTCTGCCTCTCAAATAAATAAATAGATAAATATTTTTTAAAAAAAGAAAATGACAAATTCATCTTTATGAACTTAATATCTAACTTCTTAGTTTATAAGTTATTTTAGAAAGCTTCATAAAGTGTTAATCTTATTAAAATACTCTTTAGTATTGAATATTGTGATAACTATTCTTAGGTTTGCGTACTTAAAAAACATAGCATGTATGTGTGAGGTGTGCTTGTAAATTTTTTATGGTTTCACAGTATCTATAAACTAAAAAAAAATACATATTTTTAAATTTAGGTTAAATGTGCACAGTACTGGCCAACAGATGACCGAGAGATGCTGTTTAAAGAAACAGGATTCAGTGTGAAGCTCTTGTCAGAAGATGTGAAGTCATATTATACAGTACATCTACTACAATTAGAAAATATCAATGTAAGACTTTTCTTGCCCAAAAGTTTGGACTTCTTATGGTTTACAAAATTACTCTTTATTTGGTTTGATATTTGGTACAGCATGTACATTGGGGTAGTATATCTAATAGTGTCTGTTCATAACCATTCCTTTATATGTTCCTATATGTAATAGGTCTCTAGGACTCTAAAGGCACCCCAGAAACCATGAAGTTCCGGTTGATATTTGAGGATTGAAAGTTAATTATTGGCTGGCACCGCGGCTCACTAGGCTAATCCTCCGCCTAGCGGCGCCGGCACACCGGGTTCTAGTCCCGGTTGGGGCACTGGATTCTGTCCCGGTTGCCCCTCTTCCAGGCCAGCTCTCTGCTGTGGCCAGGGAGTGCAGTGGAGGATGGCCCAAGTGCTTGGGCCCTGCACCCCATGAGAGACCAGGAGAAGTACCTGGCTCCTGCCATCGGATCAGCGCGGTGCGCCGGTCGCAGCGTGCTGGCTGCGGCAGCCTTTGGAGGGTGAACCAACGGCAAAAGGAAGACCTTTCTCTCTGTCTCTCTCTCTCACTGCCCACTCTGCCTGTCAAAAAATAAATAAATTAAAAAAAATAAAAAAGAAAGTTAATTATTAAAAACACTTAAGGATTAGGCAAACTTGGATTCAGATCTCAGCTCTGTTACTTAGGAGAGGTGAGCTTTGGTCTTGTTCCTCACCCTTCCTGAGCCTTTTCTTTCATTGGTAAAGTGTAGGTGATCACACCATCCTTTCTGGGCCTGTGGTAAAGAGCAGATGAAAATGTATATGCAGAACGCCTCGTTTGGAACAGACTCCCTGTAGAAAATAGCTCTGGACTTACTACTGTTGAGAGTAGCAAAATAGTCAAGAAAACAATTTACTAAATATTGCTGACTTGTATGATTCACCAAACAGAAATTTGTCCTTACTGATTTGAGAAAAAAATGGTGAAATGTATGGTCTCAAATGTTTGTTTGGATTTCCCTCCCAGAAATAGATTAGTTGGGTTTTGGTACATGGTTCAGACTCATACACATGACAGATTGTGAACCTGCTGGAGATCAAGACACTCTCCATCCCCAACCTTTCACATTTGCCTTTTGTGCCTTTTTTGTTCTATAATTAAGAATAAGTTAGAAAATGTGAAGTAAGGGTATGATGCTAATAAAAACTTGGATGACTAGAAAATATGAAAATATTTGGCCAAAAATAATTTCAGGTGTGTTTCTAGTCTCTAAAGTGAACTACTGTTTCAGTCAAGCACTAAGTGATCACCATTAAGTGAACTAACGTGATCACAAAGACAACACAGAAAGAGGAGGACTTGTATTTTTACACACACTTACTTTTTAGAGGTGTGGAAGTACCTTTAACTTTGGTCTCTGGAAACACTTGTTTAGCACTGCACAGGGTATGCCCAAATACATGCCATGTCCTGAAGACCCAGGGTATGGTGGTTTATGTTGCCCAGCTTCCCGTGACACCCATAAATAAGCTTATGTGATCTTTGGATCACCTAAAATGGCTTACGGTTAAAAATTAAAAGGCTTGTGTTTATTTATAAATCCTGTCACTTTCTGTTTTGTATCAGCTATTCCATTTACATACGTTGTGTATGGCATTGGGAAACATCAGCAGGGATTTGTTTACTGGGTTGTATCAGTGCTCATTCCCGGAAACAAAATTGTGTTTCCACAAGCTTCTCACAGTTCTCTGAGTCATTTTCTCTTGGTATTTATCCCAGGTGTCTCATCTAATCTAAATTGATTTACGTGAAGGCTGTAGATGGTTTCTTGTTTCTGAAACATTCCTAATTAAGAATTGATTATACCTTAAATAAAAAGTAGAATGACTTGCATATTTTATTAGATTGCAAAACATTTTCTCATATATATCATTTTACCCAGAGTCTTCTGTAATGTAGGTAAATAACTCTTTATTATCTCCCTGTTTCCTTTTTGGGGGAAAAAAAAAAAAAACTTTAAAATCCATTAGATTAAATGGACTTTTTTTCTGTAGATAATTTGGCTAATCAAGTGACAGACTGAAGTCAAAAGCAGATATCCTAACTTCTGACCTAAGGATAAATCTTTTTATAAAGATATCAGTTCTTTTCAGGGATATTCCTGATTCTAAAACATTTTTCTAAGGTTGAGGTCATAAGTGTATTGGCCAACCATTGTGTTTTAGTTGCTAGCAACCATTTGGTATAATGAAATGATTGCAGGATTTCTTGCTGGCCTAGGTTTAGAATTTACCGTAATAAAATAGCAATGATTTATTTTATGTTTTACTTTAACAATATTTAGTAAGAATTAGGAACGTTCTAAAGCTAGAACAAAGAGTCTTCTAAAGAAAAGAGTGAAATTTCAGTTTGAGAGGCAGAACTGCACCTAGTAAAGCACATAGACCCTCGAACCAGGTTGCCTGGGTTTAAATCCTGACTCTGCCACACCTGGCTAAGTGACTTGGGTCTCCTTACTTCGCTTCTGTGTCAGTTTTATCATCTTATAAAATGAAGATAGTTGCATATCTGTCTCATCGGGTTAATCTAAGAATCCAAGCCAGTTAATACTGTGGCATTACCTAAGACATAATACAGGAACCACAATCACTAGCTTATGTCATTTTATCTCTTTCCTTTCTTAATAGTGATGAATTGGGAAGGACCACATGAGGCAGGGACAGTTGGAGGAAAGAACAGGGAATGGGAGAAAATGATGATGAAGTAGGGGAATAATAGCCAACCTCTACTTGCAGATTTTTGGTGAGGTATCTAGAACCAGTTTCCTTCCGGTAGAGCTTGACTTGTATCTGTTAACAGGTGTGGGGCCAAAGCTGTCGTGTAAGCAGGCCCTGCTCCTCCAGAGACCTGTTGTTCACTGGAGCAGCAAAACTATACCAAGAGCTCTTTATAGTGTCTTACCGACACTTGGGAGTTTGAACTTTTGACCTGAATGAAGAGATTCCATCTCTGCTTTCAAAGTGGCTCCTGGCTTGAGCTACGGAGAGTGTGTGGGTTTTTTAAATGTGAGGTCATCTAGAGTACTTATTTGTCATTCAGATTTTTCTTTTTAGTTGCCCTTCACTATTTTCCGTAATGTTGTTGGCCAGCTTTATGTTTATCAAGTTCCAGGAATACTATTATAATGCTGACTGTCTTCTATTTCCCTGTCCCTGTAGATTTACCCAAAACAGGATGAGTGTCTAATTATTATGATACTCAGCTGGAACTTGATTCAAAATGATTTAAACATTTATGCCACCTAACATGGCCTCCTCGTTTCTCTGCCTATTTATATCCTGAAGCCCCTTGTGGCCCATTTCTTTCGTTTTCTTTTTTAAGATTAATTTTATTTATTTGAAAGGCGGAATTACAGGAGTTGGGCGGGGTGGGGATGGGGAAACAAAGAGAAAGAGCTCTTCCATCCACTGGTTCACTTCCTATGGCAATGGTTAGGGCTGGGCCAGGCAGAGCCAGGAGCCTGAACTCTATCCTGGTCTCACAAGTGGGTGGCAGGGGTCCAAGCACTTGGGCTATCTTCTGATGTTTTCCCAGGCACATTAGCAAGGAGCCAAAGCAGAAGTGGAGCATCCAGGACTTGAACTGCTGCTCATATGGGATGCCAGTGTCTCAGGAGGTGGCTTAACCCTCTGTGCTGCAATGCCGGCCCTGACCCATTTGTTATTTAAGTCTTTCCTAACATAGCTATGACATACTCATTCCTAACACCATGAGTCTCCTTTCACTTCTTTCCATATTTTATATTTTACTATAGTTTTATTGACTTGTTCATTTCATGTGTGTATATACATATTTTGACTTTGTAATAAGGTGTTTAACTCCCTTTAGATAGAATCCTTATCTACTTCGTACTTCCCTCTGCCATCACACCAAGCACATTGTTAAACATACTACACCTCAGCAGTTGTTTTGAAATATAGGTGTGGCCTAAAAACCTGTCTGTGGCTCCCATTATTTAGAGAAAAAAGTCCATATCCTGTGAAGAAATCATGAAGACTGAACCCAGTTCAGTCCTTGTGTTTTTGGGTATCTTCATCTCCTACAGGCACTAGGATTTGTTTCTGCCAAAAGACTTAGACTTTGCTACTTACACTTTATTTCCCAGAGGACCCTACATCTCAGTATATTTCTTTTCTCTCTGCTTAGAATGCAAGCCTATCCCTAGTTACTCCTGTCACTCCACTGGTGAGTTCTGTCTGTCCATCTTCCAAAATGAGTTGCAGTGAAAAAATATTATCATGGATGGACATTGATTCTGGCAAAAATTGACAAGGGACACAGTGAATTAAGGCTATGACAGTGAGGGTACAGATTTGACATCTTGTGGAAACAGGGTTGGCAGACGTAGCCATTCTTGAGATGTGGAGGAACAGATTGAAAATAGGACCATTTATACAGTCAGATTTTTTTTTAGAAGCTGCACCAAAAGCAAATGTGAGTTCAGTTGTTTTACAAGTAGCCATTATCTTTTAAGTATTTACCACATGCTGGCATGTAGCAGGCACTTTACTTTCATTATTTCACTTATTCCTTACAGCTGCCTTATAAGGTGAGAACTATTACTTAATCCCATTTACAGATGATCAAACTAGGGCATGATGAAAGAAATAGAATCCTGATACTTTCAGTGTATCCATCTGAAATGTGAAAATAATTGGGCCTGGAGCCTTAGAGCTGCAGATTTTTTTATGTACATTGTACTCGTTATTTCTATATTTTATGTAGATTAGATTTTTATGATAGGTAGAAAATTTATAATCTTCATATGTATTTATAATAATGATTAACCTGAATTTGAATGGCTTTAGACAGGATATATGCTTACATTGCCATAGACCTAACAGTTCCCCATTGTCTTGTAACTCCCAACTCACAGATTATCCTCTGTGCATATATATAACAAATTTTGCATCCTTATTCAAAGAGTTTAAATTTAGAATTCTCCTTCAAAAAGTGTAAGTTGGATTTTTCCTTAAAAAGAACAGTAAGCCACTGACATTTCTGTCCAGAATATGGTATATATAATGCAAAGTTTTACCAAGAAAACTTGAAAGGCATGCATGGAATGGCCACAGCCATGTCACTGAGGATGCCACAGAGTATGTGTGGGTAGTAAGGTGAACAGCCTGAAAGGGATGAGTGGGACCAACTGGGCATTAGAACATTCACTGGACTCTTAGACCACATTTAAAGGAAAACATGGCTTTGAGTTAACTGTATTCCTGGGCTAAACAAGGACCAACTTCTTCAGCCAATTCCTCTGTGGGCATTGACTTGTTAACCATCCACTTACAGTTTGTCAAAGGAAACCACAGTTTAGATTTAATTTGGGATATTTTGAATATATGTTTTCAGTTCATTTTGTTACTTACACTAACATTGACTTTCTGCATTGCAGTTGTACGATAGCACATTCATTTATGTAACCCCACCCACAATAAGGATACAGAATGATTCCATAATGCCCCCAGATTTTCTTGTGCTGCCTGTCTACAGGCAGCCTTGTTCTAATATTATTAAATCTAAGATCTAGTCTTAATGACTCCTGAAAGATGGAAAAAAACTTTAAAAATGAAACTAGGGGCTGGCATTGTGGTGTAGTAGGCTAAACCTCTGCCTGTGGCGCCGGCATCCCATATGGGTGCCAGTTCTAGCCCCAGCTGCTCCTCTTCCAATCCAGCTCTCTGCTAACGGCCTGGGAAAGCAGTAGAAGATGGCCCAAGTGCTTGGGACCCTGCACCCATGTGTGGGAGACCTGGAGGAAACTCCAGCTCCAGCTGTTGCAGCCATCTAAGGAATGAACCAATAGATGGAAGACATTTCTCTCTGTCTCTTCCTCTCTCTATCTCTACCCTACTTCTCAAATAAATAAATAAATAATCTTTAAAGAAAATGAAAACTAACTTTTAATCTCAATTTTTTAAGTGGAGAACTAACTTTTAATCTTAAATTTTTATGGGTTATACAATAGTAACCTTCAGCTTTTAATCATAAAGCATACCAAGATTTTTTAATGCCTCCTACCTTCAAAAAATTTCTATAATAAAACTGAAAAATTGTGCAGACACATTAGAAGATCACTGTTTTGTTTACAGAAAAAAAAAAAAGATTATAAAACAAAGAAGTACTCCTGGGGCAAAAGGTAATTTGGTGAAAAGAAACATTTTCATAATAAATTAGAAATAAAGATCATCAGAAATATCCAGGAAGTGATAGTGGTGCCAGGCAAGCCTGAGAGGAAGCAGTTAGTGTGTTGGTAAACAACTTTAAGATTGGAAATTATTACCATGGGAAAAGGCAGCAATTAGAGAAGCAATTTTAAATAAAAATATAAAGATGCTTCTTTAATTCTTGAGTTTCTCCTCTGCCTGTGTAGCAAACCATATAAAAGGAAAAGTATATTTTAAAAAAAAAGTTTGGAATTCTTAAAATGGAAACCATTAAAGATTGTAAAATTATGCTGGGAGAAATTTTTAAAAAGAAGAAAGCACTCATTGTGACGTATGAATTTTTAAAAAATGCTGGTAGCATACATGGTACAGCTTAGTAGTTAAAAACTCAAGTGCTGTGCAAGATTGCTGTTTCAAATCCTGATGCTGACATTTTCTAGTGTGTGACCTTGAGCAAATTTACTAACTTTTTGCCTCAGTTTTCTCATTTGGAAAATGAGTTACTAACAAGACTGTTGTGTGAGTTGAGCTAAGAGCACTTAGAACAGGCCTAAAAACACTGTGTTATATGTGTTAGCTATTAATATGTTCCAAATTTCCCTATGAAAATCTTCCCTAATATGTATAAGCAGTTAGCAAAAACCAAGTGGAAAAATGGTACAAAGAGTTCATAAGTATTAAAAGCATTTTAAAAAACACATGATCTTTCTGAAGTACTTTTTTGTTTTATTTTGTTTTCTGTTTTTAAAGAAGATGATTAGAACTAACTTCTCCTCCCTTGATTTTCACTTTTTAGAGTGGTGAAACCAGAACAATATCCCACTTTCATTATACTACCTGGCCAGATTTTGGAGTCCCTGAATCACCAGCTTCATTTCTCAATTTCTTGTTTAAAGTGAGAGAATCTGGCTCCTTGAACCCTGACCATGGGCCTGCGGTGATCCACTGTAGCGCAGGCATTGGGCGTTCTGGCACCTTCTCTCTGGTAGACACCTGTCTTGTTCTGGTAAGTGCTCCTTAGGATCTCATGCTAGTCTTGGTGGGTTTTTTGTTTGCTTGTTTGTTTTGTTTTGTTTTGTTCTCTTCCAGCAAGAGTAAGTTCTGATGTCATTTCCTAGAACTCTGTTTTTTGAACTTAAACTTCTGCCTTCTTTTGGAAAAAGCTACAAATCTCGTATCCAAGATGATTCTAGAGATCACCCAGGAAGACCTTTCCTCCTAGTCGCTTTGTATTACAGAGATAATAGATTCCCCCCCCTTTGTTCACATGTAAGAATATATAATTCCTTCTTTCTCAGATAAGCACTTCATTTCTTTTTCTGTATTTAAAAAGGGATAATGACAGGACTTACCTGAAAGGATTGCTGTGAGAATTCAATATATTAAAAAAACGTTTAGGGAACCGGCATGGTGGCCTAGTAGGTTAAGCATATTATTCTCCTGAGATTCCTATATATGCCCCTAAGGGTTGTTTTAAGATTTGTCAATAACCTGGGCAATTTAGGAAACTAAAGTTCTTAGCCTTAATTTTAAGGCCCTATGTTGTGTCTGCTTTCCTCTGTTAGTCTCTTATCTGTCCCCATAAAAGTTAGCTATGCTTCCTTGCATTTATTTCAGCATTCTTATGCTTTCTATTTTGTTTTGTTTTGTTTCTTATGCTTTCTAACATGACTGCTAGCACAAAGTAGATTCTCAGATGAATTAATAAAGCACACGAGAGACCTTAGCAGGATACTCTTAGTAGAACATTTCAGATGTAACAGCTGTAATGAAATCTGGGAATTAATGGTTGAGTCATGGGCTGGTGCCGTGGCTCACTTGGTTAATCCTCTGCCTGCGGCACTGGCACCCAGTATGGGTACTGGGTTCTAGTCCCAGTTGCTCCTCTTCCAGTCCAGCTCTCTGCTGTGGCCCGGAAGGGCAGTGGAGGATGGCCCAAGTACTTGGGCCCCTGCACCCGCATGGGAGACCAGGAAGAAGCACCTGGCTCCTGGCTTCGGATGGAGGAAACGCAGGCTGTAGCGGCCATTTGGGGGGTGAACCAACAGAGGAAGACCTTTCTGTCTCTCTCTCTGTCTGTAACTCTACCTGTCAACCACAAAAAAAGAATGGTTAAGTCTTAACATATACACTATATTACTTTACCACTCTGTCCATATGCTGTACTTAAAACATATTTGCGCCGGCACCGTGGCTCAATAGGCTAATCCTCCACCTTGCGGCGCCGGCACACCGGGTTCTAGTCCCGGTTGGGGCGCCGGATTCTGTCCCGGTTGCCCCTCTTCCAGGCCAGCTCTCTGCTATGGCCAGGGAGTGCAGTGGAGGATGGCCCAAGTGCTTGGGCCCTGCACCCCATGGGAGACCAGGAAAAGCACCTGGCTCCTGGCTCCTGCCATCGGATCAGCGCGGTGCGCCGGCTGCAGCGGCGGCCATTGGAGGGTGAACCAACGGCAAAGGAAGACCTTTCTCTCTGTCTCTCTCTCACTGTCCACTCTGCCTGTAAAAAAAAAAAAAGAAAAGAAAAAAAAAAAAACATATTTGCGCTGCAGTTGAGACCACTTCAGATGCCGGCATCCCATATTGGAGTGCCATAACTTGGTTCTTGTCTCTGGTTCCGATTTCAGCTTCTTGCTGATGTTCATCCTGGGAGCAGTGATGGCTCAAGTATTTGAGTCCTTGCCACCCTTGTGGGAGACCTGGATTGAGTTCCTTGCTCCCATCCTTGGCCTGGCTCAGCCCCAGCTGTTGTAGGCATTTGGGGAGTGAACCAGCAGATGAACTCTTTGCCTTTCAAATGAATAAAGCAGAAATTGGATTGTTTCATTAAAGTAGACTTTGTCCTATTTAAAAACTCTGGTGTCTGTGTGGTTAATGATGAATGTTAAAACTGGATCGTGTGTTTATTCCTGTTCCTGCCAACCATTACTTACACAGTTTTCTCCTTTTTCTGTTGTGGTGTGGTTTCTAAAATCCAATCAGTAGTCCAGAGTTGATGTAGTAGTTCACCAGTGTGATAGAGAATATAGACTTTCTCTGACTTTCTTGTCCACTTCTGTAGATAACTGCTGTGCCTTCAGACATTGTATTTGTAGTCCATACATGAAGAAGGCAGAAGGGATATGGGCAAAAGATTTACTACCATCAGACCTTAAAAACAATCATGCAGAGCCGGCACCGTGGCTCACTAGGCTAATCCTCTGCCTTGCGGTGTCGGCACACCGGGTTCTAGTCCTGGTCGGGGCGCCGGATTCTGTCCCGGTTGCCCCTCTTCCAGGCCAGCTCTCTGCTGTGGCCAGGGAGTGCAGTGGAGGATGGCCCAAGTGCTTGGGCCCTGCACCCCATGGGAGACCAGGAGAAGCACCTGGCTCCTGCCTTCGGGTCTGCGCGGTGCGCCGGCCGCAGCGCAGCAGCTGCGGCGGCCGTTGGAGGGTGAACCAACGGCAAAGGAAGACCTTTCTCTCTGTCTCTCTCTCTCACTGTCCACTCTCTGCCTGTCAAAAAAAAAAAAAAAAAAAAACAATCATGCAAATAAACAAAAAGAACTAAGCACAGGAACTTTACCCCTATACTAGCCAAAACTAGTCATAAATCCTTCCTTTGGTTACTGGCCAAAGTGAACGAGATTACTATGATTTGGAATCAATTGTGAATCAGCTAAAGAATCACAATTCCTCCGTCTACTACTTGAACAATTGAGGTGTGGAAGGATGAGTGGATTGGGATAATGTATTAAATGATCCTTTTTCATGAAGAGTGAATGCACAGCAAAATTCTTAGTAATAATCCCGTGTTGCTTTTCTTTCCTGGACTCTAACACTTAAAGGCTGTACTTATGTTTCCCTTTCCTGCAGATGGAAAAAGGAGATGAAATTAATGTTAAACAAGTGTTACTGAATATGAGGAAATACCGAATGGGACTTATTCAGACTCCAGATCAACTCAGATTCTCATATATGGCTATAATAGAAGGAGCAAAGTGTATAAAGGGAGATTCCAATATACAGGTAATCTTTTCTTGGGGAAGTATAATACCTGTTTTGTTAGATACAGTTTACATCAAGCAACTCACTTTCCAAAAGGTATGTTTGAGTTAATTTTTGGGAACAAGATTTCACTAGAGAAACTAAAATTTTCATGTAGGGGAGATTGAAGTGTTTAGTCATTAAACCAGGAAATTTAGGTACTTTTGCCCCATTAAAAACTGGGCATGGTATTACAGAATATTTAGTTTATATTTTAGATATTTCACTGTATAATAATGAGCAACTTGAACATGTATGAGCAATCTTCAAAAGTTCATGGAGGGGCCTGCACTGTGGTGCAGTGATTAAAACTACAGCCTGCGTGCTGACATCCCTTATGGGCACCGGTTCGAGTCCCAGCTGCTCCTCTTCCAATCCAACTCTCTGTTTTCTTATGGTCTGGGAAAGCAGTAGAAGATGGCTCAAGTCCTTGGGCCCCTGCACCCACGTGGGAGACCCAGAAGAAGCTCTTGGCTCCTGGCTTCGGATTGGCGCAGCTCTGGCCATTGCGACCATCTGGGGAGTGAACCAGCAAATGGAGGATCTTTCTCTCTCTCTGCCTCTCCTTCTCTCTGTGTGCAGCTCTGCCTTTCAAATAAATAAATAAATCTTTAAAAATGAAAAAGAGAGGGTGAGAGAGAGGATCTTTGATAGTTGATTTACTTCCCCAGATGGCTTACAAGGGTTGGTGCTGGGCCAGGCCAAAGCCAGGAAGTAGGAGCTTCATCTGAGTCTCCCACGTGTGTGGCAGGGGTCCAAATGCTTCTGTTGCTTCTCCCAGTCTGCTAGCAGGGAGCTGGATCAAAAGTGGAGCAGCTGGGACACAAATCAGCACCCATGTGGAATGCCAGTGTGGCAGGCAGCAGTTTTACCCACTAGGCCACAACGCTGGCCCCTGAATAAGCCTTCTTTTATAACTTAGGTCAGACCATCAATATCCTGCTGGTGGCCTGGCTCTGTGTTGTAGTAGGTTAAGGCTCTGCCTGCAGCCCTGCCGCTGCATGGGATGCCAATTCAGGTCTCAGCCAGCTACCTACTACATCACCACGGCAGCCCCCCACCACAACGCCAGCCCTCAAGTCAAACTTTATATGATATTTATCAATAATATTTTAAAGGTTTTATATAAAAGATCTTTTTCAGGTTTTGAAAAGCATTAAATAAAAATTTCAATGGCAAAACATGAGGTTACTCTGTGCCAGAATAACTAAGTGGAAAACTAACCCACAAAACCCTAGACCCTATTTCAGAACCTGTTTCAGTACTTGAAATGTGGCTAGACAGAAATTTAAACTATACACCAGATTTTGAAGACTTAATATAGAAAAAATGTAAAATGTTTAAATAATTTTAGAAAGTTATTTTTGTTCTGTTTTTAGTATTCTGAATTAAATAAGACATTAATATTGTTTTTTAACATGGCTATGGGAAAATATTGAACGATATATGTGGCTCATATTGTATTTCATTGGACAGTCCTGTTGTAGAACCTTAATTTAGAACAGAAATATGAGAGAAATAAAGTCCCTTGAAATTTTAAGTCATAAAATTTCAGTACCTATTGCAGAGATGTAAAGTCACTTTGTTAATGTGGAAATCCAAAACAATAAATAACTGTAGCTCATACAAGTATCACTTTACGTATAAGGATGTGATAGCCAGTTTATGAAAAGACTCTTCTTTCTCTCCTCCTTTGTTTTCTCTAATTTTTTGGGAAAAACTAATATTTATAAGAAGAAGGAAGCTTCTTTTCACTGTGGGCATGATATGGTGTGGGGGTTACTTCCTGAACCCATGTATCCCCAGGGAACCCATCTTTCTAGTAATGTCTTTGATCTTAGTATTAGGGTGGTGCTGGTCTCATAGAATGAGTTAGGAAGTAATCTTTGTTTCTGTTCTCTGAAAGAGATTGTAGAGGATTGGTATGTTGTCTTTAGTTTGGTAGATTTCCCAGTCTGGGCCTAGTGCTTTCTATTTTGGAAGCTTATTAATTATTATTTTGATTTTTCTCTGATTTGTAAACTATTGTTTGCTTTTTATTAAGATGTAATGCTTGTACATTTTAATGGAGTGCAGTGCAGTATTTCAACACATGACCACTGTAAACCAAGTCTTTGCATCTTTTCTTTGTGTTGGTTAATTTTTTTTTTTTTTAGTAGATACATGCCTTTTCAGGTTGTCTGTTTCTTTTGTGGGTTTTAGCAATTTGTGAAGGAATGGGTCCGTTCCATTTAGGTTACTGTGTGAGCATAGAGTTGTTGATAATAATCATTTTTATCATTTAAAAATGTTTATTTGAAAAAATAGCAGAGCCAGAAATCTCCCATCCTCTGGTTCACTCCCCAAGGGCCTGCAGCAACCAAAGCTGGACGAGGCCAAAGTCAGGAGCCCAGAACTCCATCCAGGTCTTCTGTGTAGGAAGCACATACTGCTACCTGCTGCCTTTCAGGGTACTCATTAGCAGGAAGCTGGATTGGAAGCAGAGTACATGGGACTCAGACAAGGCATTCCAATATGGGATACATGTGTTCCAAAAGGTGGCTTAACTGCTGTGCCAAACAGCAGCCCCTGAATGCAGTTTTATGTTAATTTTTCTAATATGATTTCTTGCATATATGTATTTAAAGTGATTTAGGACCTGTAGTGACAAAGAAGAGTTGTTAATGTCACAGGTCTGAGGTGATTCGATTTTTTTTACAGATTTATTTATATATTTGATAGGCAGAGTGACAGAGAGGGAGAGACTTAGAAGAGTTGGGGAGATAGCTTCCATTTGCTGGTTGACTTCTCAAATGCCTGCAACAGCCTGGTATGAGCCAGGTCAAAGCCAGGAGCCTGGAACTCCATTCAGTTCTTGTACGTGGGTGGCAGGGACCCAGGGATTTGGACCATCATCCCACTGTCTCCTGGGTACCTTAGCAGGAAGTTGGATCGGAAACAAAGTAGCCAAGTCTCTAACCAGGCACTCTGATAAGAGATGTCGGTGTCCAGAGCAGCAGCTTACCCCACTACACCCACAAACACCCATGCATAGAGTGATTGTATTTTAAGTCAGTTAGATATAGATATAGCATATAGCATATATTCATAACAGAACATCTGTAACGACCTTGACCTACCTAGGTAAATATGGATAATTGCTAGTTGTCCCTTGGCACATGTTTTGGCATAAATACATAAAATAGTTACTGGTATTACCACATGTTTATTGGCAAACTCCCAGTGTCATTGATGAACCTCCCAGATTAAATAATCTAGTTCAGCAAATCAGAACTTGTGTTGCAAGATCTCTCGCTGATAATTTGATCCTGCTAATAAAGTGTTAAATGTTAAATGATAAACTTTTAACAAATTGCAGTGTTTTCTCAAGTTTAACTGTATCCCTTTACAGCTCTTTGGAGATGCTTTCTTCAGTGAGAGAAGTGGATGGGGTGGGGGGTTCCAGACAAGTGAATGAGGCATTGCTGCCATTAGCATGTGACATGTGGGACTGTGGTTCATACCATGAGCACAGAATTAGAAAGAAAGGTGAAACCGCGCCAGACTTCAACATGAAGCTCATGAGAAATTCTTATTTAGTGAAAGCAAATACCTTGGCTTAGCACATCTGTAGTGATAAACTGAGACAGGTGACTCAGGAGTGCCTGCTCACTTTGTATCACTGAAGGGCAAATGTAAGCTAAGTTTGCTGCACTGAGACATAGCAGAATGAATTTTTCAGAAATTCACTGACATTAACTATCTCACCCTCCTCCACCCCCACTTTGCTGAGTGCCTTTCTTGTTGACAGATTCTGAATTTGTTGCATATTCTGGGAAGTGGTCCAGTGAGGCTTGATTGTTGGCTTCAGTTCATTCATTGACATTGTTGAGTGTTGTCCAAATACATGGCCAAGTTGCTGTAACTGGGGCTTAGTGAAAACTGGAAACTTCAAAAATTGACCAACATAAATTGTGGAGACTGCTGAACACTTTTTATTGGGTGTTTTCTTCATCCAGTGTCTGAAATTGTTGAGCTTTTCAGAGACATACAGCAATATAGCATTATGAGGGACTGTAGGATAGTCAACCCAACTATCTGAGTTAAAATTCTGCCCTACTGTTTATTAGCTGCATAACCTTAGGCCAATTGGCCAAAATCTCTGGACTTACCTGTACAAGGGTGGTAGTGTCAGTTACCTAAGGAAATTGTGAGGTTTGAAACAAAGGGAAAGAGGAAAATTTACATAGTCATCTAAAGTGAAGACATCCCACTCTTAGGTACATTGTACAGTGTTTTGTAACTGTTGGCAGGGTCTTCTTCCTGGACGTGGTCTGTTCAGCCACCCCAACCCTTCTCATTGACCCCCAGGACTCCTCTCCTAGAAGTCTGCTTCCCGTCCAGCCTCGTTACTTCTTCCAAGTGTCCATGTTCTCTGTCCTCCAGCTACATTGCACAAATTGTGCTACTCCCTGCCTGCTGTCTTCCAGGCACAGCAGACGTGTCACATTCTCGGAGTCTTTTGTAAATCAGCTGTTATAAAACAAAGATGCATTCATTCTGCACTTGAATACAGCAGCTGTTTCGGGGAAAGGTGGGGCTGGTAAACGCCTTTTCATTCTTGCGTTGTATGACGATGATGGCACAGATGAGAAACAGTCCATCCAGTGTATGGATGAGTTTTCCAGGTATTTTACAAATCTAGATATATAAACATTGTCTTTTTTTTTTTTTTTTTTTGGACAGGCAGAGTGGACAGTGAGAGAGAGAGACAGAGAGAAAGGTCTTCCTTTTTGCCGTTGGTTCACCCTCCAATGGCTGCCGTGGCTGGCGCACTGCGCTGATCCGATGGCAGGAGCCAGGTACTTATCCTGGTCTCCCATGTGGGTGCAGGGCCCAAGCACTTGGGCCATCCTCCACTGCCTTCCCGGCCCACAGCAGAGAGCTGGCCTGGAAGAGGGGCAACCGGGACAGAATCCGGTGCCCTGACCGGGACTAGAACCTGGTGTGCCGGCGCCGCAAGGTGGAGGGTTAGCCTACTGAGCCGCGGCGCCGACCTAAACATTGTCTTTAATAGTATGATTTTGTTTAAAAGTAACTCCAGGCTATGAATGTTTTTGTAAGTTCTGAGAATGTAAGTTGCTGTGTTACACCTCTGTTCAAAATCATTATTCTCTTCAGGTAGTTAGTAGAGTGTTCTTTATTAAATTGACCTAAGACCCTTGTTTCCATGGTAGTGTCCTCAAAGGGGATTACACCTGTCCATACCAAGTAATTTGGGTCATTGTCAAAGTCACAGATAATCAAAACCATTGACTTACCCTCTGCCACTGTTACTGGCAGGGAGATCGATGACTTTTGTGTTCCCTGCCTTAAAAGACTTGAGAAACTATGGTCCCAGTGATTTTTGCCTTTTTTTGTTCAGCCTGGCCACTGACAACTGCCATCTCCAGGGACACATTTCGTACCTCTTCTTCCCGTGCCTTTGTTACTAGGAATGGTGATGGTGAAACAAAGAAAGCTTAGTGTTTGTCAAACATGATACTAATCCTGGGCTTTATTATTAATCACTGCAGCAGTTGCCCGAGGAGGGTGATGATATCCTCTTTCATAAAGGGAGAAACTGGAATTTCTCTTTATCTTTATCGAAATCCTGCTGTTTGTTGTCATCCACTCTAAAGTCCAGGCATGCTAAAGGATGTTTTCCCAGCCTGGTGGTGAGCTGACCACCTGGAGCTCCCAGTGTACTTGGTAGGGTACTTGGTTAGGGACAACCAAATTGAATACCTTTGACAACATTAGGACCTGTCTAGATATTTTAACTGTTGGGTCTCCCTGCACTGGACAGGAGCAAAGAATAGGAAGATACCAGATCACATTTAACTAATAAAGTATTCAACTACAAGGTGATGTATATAGATAATTAAATGCTTTATAATTAAAAATTTTAAACTTAAGCATAGTAGTCAAAAGTACTGTGGTATAATAAATCCTTGGTCATTTTCATTCATCTTTTCGCATTGCAGGGATTTTTTTCAGCTTGAATATAGAATTTAAAATCAAACGTTTTTAATTTAAGGGAAGCCAAATTTTCGGTGTCTGCATTGCTTTTTCTTTTTTCTTCCCTACCTAGAAACGGTGGAAAGAACTTTCTAAGGAAGATTTATCTCCTGCTTTTGATCATTCACCAAACAAAATAATGACTGAAAAATACAATGGGAACCGAATAGGTCTAGAAGAAGAAAAACCGACAGGTGACCGATGTACAGGACTTTCTTCTAAAACGCAAGACGCTCTGGAGGAGAACAGTGAGAGGTGAGATTCCCAGAGTTAGATGCTCAAAAAGATGAGGCTTTTTATTGTGAAAAGTTCACTTGATGGGAAGCAATATAGACCCTCTGTCTGTCGAATTAATATTTAGGTAGCATATGATTACATGATTGTTCTCAAAAAGCTTTCAGTTCTAGAAAAAGACTGTTTATAAACAGAAACCAGGTGAAAAAACAGTACTAATTGAATACAAAGGTTAATATGATCAGATACTAAAATATACAAGTACAGTATAGTAAATAAATGATATGAATACTTGCCACTTGTAGAGTTAAAAATAAAATTATAAAATATTTAAACTTAATTCCATTGTTAGAGGCAAAAAAGTAGTTTTCTTAAAAAATAGGTAAAATGCCATTTTATACTTTTTCATTTTAATCCATATAAATGTATAAGTTATTGCAAAAGAATTTTTTTAAGATTTATTTATTTAAAAGGCAGAGTTAGATAGAGAGATCTTCCATCTGCTGGTTCACTCCCAAAATGGCCACGATAGCCAGGCTGGGCCAGGCTGGGCCAGGCTGAAGCCAGGAGCCTGAAACTATCCTGTCTCCCATGTGGATGCAGGGGTTCGAGGACTTGAGCCATCTTCCACTGCCTTCCGAGGTACATTAGCAGGGAACTGGATCAGAAGTAGAGCAGCCAGGACTCGAACCAGCATCCACATAGATGCCAGCACTGCCAGTGGAGGCTTTAACTTGCTATGCCACAATGCTGGCCCCCAATTTTTTAAAATTAAAAAAACCTACATTTCTAGGGCTCTGATTATTTCAGGCACACATTAGGAAGCTGGTGTTCTGAGGTCTAAGTCACTTAGCAAAGTGAATGAGCTCTTTTTCTTTTTTGAATGTCTGAATAACTTTTTCTTTTTTGGGGGGGAGGAGTTAAATATACTTTTTATTGTGGGAAGTTTTATGTTGTCATACTTGTCAAGGTTGGGATTTGGGATGTACCATGAAAATAGTATGAAGGTTCCTGTACATTATAGCTGCTGCACACTGTATTTTTGTAATATCAAAATTATATACCTGAAATTTTGTGAAACCTAATATATTGCCATATATAGTAAATGTGTTGTATTTCCAGACAGCACTGCTTCTCATTTATGGCTTTTTTAAGGATTTATTTTATTTATTTGAAAGAGTTATAGAGAAAGGTAGAGAGAGATTTTGCATCTGCTGGTTCACTACCCAGATGGCTACAACAGGCCAGAGCTGAGCCAATCTGAATCCAGGAGCCAGGAGCTTCTTCTGGCTCTCCTACCTGGGTCCCAGGGCCCAAGGACTTGGGCCATGCTCCACTGCTTTTCTAGGCACATTAGCAGGGAGCTGGATTGGAAGTAGAGCAGCTGAGACTCAAACTAGCACCCATATGGGATTCTGGCGCTGCAAGCCAGGACTTTAACATGCCATGCCACAGCACCAGCCCCTCACTTATGACTTTTAGACTAAGTGAAAGCATTAAGCTGTTCCTTTTTTAGCCTTAAATTACTACTATTTTTGAAGATATATTTATTTATTTGAAAGGCAGAGTTACAGGCAGAGAAGAGAGAGAGAGAAAGAAACACCTTCCATCTACTAGTTCACTCCCCAGATGGCCAGAACAGCCAGGGTAGGCCAGACCAAAGCCAAGAGCTTCTTCCAGGTCTCCCACATGGGTGTCTGTGGCCCAAGTAATTGGGCCATCTTCTGCAGCTTTTTCCAGGCCATTAGCAGGGAGCTGGATAGGAAATAGAGCACCTAGGACTTGAGCTGGCATCCAGCACTGCAAGTGGCGGCTTAACCTGCTGTGCCACAGCTCCAGCCCCTTAAGTTAATACTTTTAAATCAGAAAATGATATTGTTTTAAATTACGTTAACTTGTTTGGTAGTAAGATTTTCAGATTCCTAGTATTAGTATCCCCTTCTCCCCCGCTTTTGATTAGTACTATGTGTAAAATTAAGTGAAAAACAAGCTTAATGACTAAATTGGTTTCCTTAGTATCTCAGAATTGTTTTAATTTTAAAAGACACACACAAACCATCTTAACAATCGCAGTGGATGAAACCATCATTGTCCAAATTTGGCAGTCCAGAAATTACTTAAAATAATTTGGGAGCTACAGAGTGATTGCAGAAAGTGTTCTTACAGTGTGTGGATGTGTGCATACATATGTTCACATGGATTGTTTTCTTCTTCTTTTTTTCTTCCCTGGGAGGTAAATGAGACCTGGTGTATGTTTGAAAGCAGAGGGAGGGTCCCAAGAGAGAAGTAAGGCTTTTCAGATGTATGCCTTTCAAGGCAGAGAGAGAAACAGAGATTTAGAATAGAGGTCTCTTATCCATTATTTCACTCTCCAAATGCCTGCAACAGTATGGCATCTGGGCCAGACCAAAACAAGGAGCTTAGAACTTCTTGACTAATCCAAGTCTTGAGCCACTTTAACCGTCACCTCCTACTGCCTCCCAGGGTATGCATTACCAGGAGGTTGGAATTGGGACCTGACCCAAGCCAAGACTTAAAACCCAAGGACTTCCGTATGGGGTGCCGGCATCCTAGGTAGCATCTTAACCACTATACTAAATGCCTGCCTTCTCCAGTGCATTTTAATACTGATGGATAGCTTTGAATAAGAGGTACTAATAGAATAAGATAAAAATTTTGTCAAAGATTTCAGCCATTAAAGGAGTAGAGGGTAATTTCTTCTCTTCATTGTCATTGAGTATCCTCCAAGACAGTGTTTGCCAAATTGAAGGTCAAATCCCATAGTCATGAGATCAGTTATTGGCTTGTAAAAAGAGTTTCTAAAGAAGAAAATAGAATAGAGTAAAATAGAAATTATTAGACTATCATAAATAGTTAACTATGAATACTCTAACCTAGTTTCTTCTGTCCATGTTGTATATAAATTCTCCATACTCAAATGCATACTGTGTATATAGGTAAATGTATGTATATGTGCGCTCCATTGGGATATAAGATATTTCTTGTAGATTGGAATCTTAGTTTGACAACCAGTGTTCTCAATCATCACATGACCCATAAAGCTGTGAGAGTAGAAGGTAGTGGGGCTATATGAAAAGTCTTACTGTGCAGTATGTTTACGTAAAGTGCACCTGCCAGGGCGAGTGTTGGCAGAAGACTGCTGAGTCTGCTGCCATAAGAAATTACATGTGATTTTCCATGGACAAGGGTCCACAGGAGGTTCTCTTTAGGTTTTGTAGCCTAAGTTGTATGAATATATGCAAAAACCTGGTTAGGTCCCCCTTGGAAGGTTATTACACAGACATAATTTCCTGAGGCGCAACTGGATAACAGAAGATTTTGTTGTATCACAAAGTGGGCATAGTCTGTCCTCTCGAATAGTGCTCTTGAACTAAATTACAGGGGAGTGTTTGGCGCAGCAGTTAAGATGCCACTTGGGACACCTTCAGTGCATGTCAGAGTGCCTGGATTTGATTCCCAGCTCTGCTTCCAATCCCACACATCCTGGGAGAAGTAGGTTGGTGCCTGCCATCCATGTAGGAGACCCAGCTTGTGTCCCTGCCTTCTGGCTTAGGCCCAGCCCACTGCTGACTGTTGCAAGGAATTTGAGGAGTAAACCAGTGGATGGAAGATCTCTGTCTCTAGATAGACGGACAGACATATGCATACTTACATACATATATAGGGAAGGATAATGGTGGCATGCCTTTGTTTATTTTTGGTTTTTTGTTTGTTTGTTTGTTTGTTTTGACAGGCAGAGTGGACAGTGAGAGAGAGAGACAGACAGAAAGGTCTTCCTTTTTGCCGTTGGTTCACCCTCCAATGGCCGCGGTGGCCGGCGCACCGCGCTGATCCGATGGCAGGAGCCAGGTGCTTATCCTGGTCTCCCATGGGGTGCAGGGCCCAAGCACTTGGGCCATCCTCCACTGCACTCCCTGGCCACAGCAGAGAGCTGGCCTGGAAGGGGAGCAACCGGGACAGAATCCGGTGCCCCGACCAGGACTAGAACCCGGTGTGCTGGCGCCGCTAGGTGGAGGATTAGCCTAGTGAGCCGCGGTGCCGGCCGGCATGCCTTTGTATTTGTTTCTAGCTCAGTCCTGAATTGTATTGCAGTTTTGGAAAGCACTGACTTTTATTCTATTATTTTAAATGATAAAAAGTATGTGTTCCCAGTCCCATCAAAAGCTATAACCAATTTTCTCCATCATAGTTAAAAAACCCTTTAAAACTCCTATACAGCATTTAAAGTGCTAATTATCTAATCATATAATCTCATTATCTAACCATATTGTATATGTATGGCAAATGATGATAATGTAAAATATGATACAAACTCTAATTGCCTCTACATTGCAATGGAAATTTAAAATAGTATATTAAAGATTTCATATACATTAGAACATGGTTGATGGTGATGGTGGTCCCAGACACCTAGCAAAATCAAGTTAGAGACCCATGGAGGGCTAATGCTACCTGTCCACTTCTGTGTTACATATTATATATGTGTGACCTGCATTTGTACCCATATATTTTCACTGGAAGGAATGTGCATATTTGTCACAGTGAATTTTCAGATCAGAGAGTGAATTCTGGGTAGCAACTTTTACAAGTCATTATAACAGATATTCAGACAAAGTTCAGGCAGCCAGGAATACCTATAAACTGTTCTTCCTTGATATCCATGGGGGATTTGTTCCAGGACCCCCACAGATAACAAAATTCATGAATATTCAAGTCCCTTATATGTTGTAGTATTTGCATATAACCCACACACACCCTCCTGTAGACGTTAAATCATCTCTAGCTTACATGTAACACCTAGTATAATGTAAATACTATGTAGTTTTTAGCACATATTCCCTATTGTTTAGGGAATAATTGTTTAGGGAATAATGGCAAGAATGAAAGTCTGCACATGTCCAGTACAGATGCAGTTTCTTTCTTTTCTTTTTTTATTTATTTATTTATTTATTTATTTATTTATTTGACAGAGTTATAGACAGTGAGAGAGAGAGAGAGACAAAGAGAAAAGTCTTCCTTCCGTTGGTTCACTCCCCCAGTGGCTGCCACGGCCAGCGCTGCGCCGATTCAAAGCCAGGAGCCAGGTGCTTCTTCCTGGTCTCCCATGTGGGTGCAGGGGCCCAAATACTTGGGCCATCCTCCACTGCCCTGCTGGGCCACAGCAGAGAGCTGGACTGGAAGAGGAGCAGCCGGGACTAGAACCTGGCGCCCATATGGGATGCTGGCGCCGCAGGCGGAGGATTAGCCAAGTGAGCCATGGTGCCGGCCCCACAGATGCAGTTTCATTGATGGTTGGATGAATCTCTGGGTGTGGAACCCATGGGCCCAGAAGGCCAATTGTAGTAAGTAAGAGTGCGCCCACAGGACATGCAAAGACCAGCAATGAGAGGAGGGAGAATTAAATAGAATAGAAGTGAAGGGACCAGATGGAAGGGAAGGTTTTCTGTTTTTATGGAGAACAAATTTAGAGAAGAGCAAAACCCTTCTGGGCAAGAAAAAGCTCATGTGGAGCAGGAAGGAGACTGTCAGGATGTCAGGTGCCTGCACCTCTGCTTTCCGTTTACTTGGGTGTATACCTGGAAGTGGAATTGCTGGTTCCTGTGACAGTCCTGTGCTTACCATTTTGAGGAACTGTCAAGCTGTTTTCTACAGCAGCTACGTTCCACCAGCAATAGCTAAAGAAATGAACAGAGATGCCAGCATTGTGGCACAGCGGGTTAAACTGCTGCTTACAAGGCTGCTATCCCATAATGCTGGTTCGAGTCCCAGCTGCTCCACTTCCAATCCTGCTCCCTGTTATACCTGGGAAACAGCAAAAGATGACCCAAGTGCTTGGGCCCCTGCCACAGCCACATGGGAGACTCGGATAGATTTCCAGCCATTGTGGCCATTTCAAGAATTAACCAGCAGATGGAAGATCTCTTTCTCCCCTTGACTGTAGCTCTGCCTTTCAAATAAATAAATCTTAAAAAAGAAAAGAAACTGGCCGGCGCTGCGGCTCACTAGGCTAATCCTCCGCCTTGCGGCACCAGCACACCAGGTTCTAGTCCCAGTCAGGGCACCGGATTCTGTCCCAGTTGCCCCTCTTCCAGGCCAGCTCTCTGCTGTGGCCAGGGAGTACAGTGGAGGATGGCCCAAGTGCTTGGGCCCTGCACCCCATGGGAGACCAGAAGAAGTACCTGGCCCCTGCCATCGGATCAGCGCAGTGCGCCGGCCTCAGCAGCCATTGGAGGGTGAACCAATGGCAAAGGAAGACCTTTCTCACTGTGTCTCTCTCTCACTGTCCACTCTGCCTGTCAAAAAAAAAAAAAAAAAAAAAACTCACTGAAATAAATAATAAATAGCAGTAAATTATCCTGATACTGTAACACTTCAAAAATTTTTTAGAAGTGGTATTAAAAGATAGATTTATTTTGGTGCAAAAATTTCTTGAAAACCATGCATAGATGTTTATAATTTTCCTTGAACATTTTGAAGACCCTCTTCTTTAGATTTCACATTGAAATTTTCCTGGTTATCTAAAAAGTACACTTTGCTTATTACACTTATTTAAAATGTATAGTTTCACTGTATTTTCACGTTTAGACAGGTCATGTAGCCATCACCACAGTCTAATGGTTGAACATTTTCAGAATCTATGGCTATTCATAATAAAAATAACTTATGATCTAATCAAGGATTGGACACTGTATTTGGTTGATATGATTCTTTGGTTTTCTTTTATCTAGAACTGTTCCGCACTACCCCTACTCCTTCTCCACTTGACACTAGCATTTTTTAAATCCTATAGATTCGGATTAGAGGGACCCCCAGTGTCTTTTCCCTTCTGCTTGCTAGTTAGCAAAGAAAACCAACAGTCACCAATTCACTTTTCAAGAAAGTATGTACCTTGCTGATTTTCAGGTCCTACTAACAGTACTTAGTATGTATAAAAGTGTGCCAGAAGATGTTGCTGGATCATCAGAGTACATCCGTGAACCAGTTTAGAATAGGAGACCGTTTCCCTTCTTAATCCCAGGGTTTGAATAAGATGAAAAATACATTGGAGGAATGGTTTTGGATTTGCACTCAGACCTTCTGTATTAGAGCAAGTCCTGCCACGCACATACTTCCTTTCATTTGTTTTTATTTATTCACAGTGTTCTACGGAAACGTATCCGAGAGGACAGAAAAGCCACCACGGCTCAGAAGGTGCAGCAGATGAAACAGAGGCTAAATGAGACTGAACGAAAAAGAAAAAGGTGGTTATATTGGCAACCTATTATCACTAAGATGGGGTTTGTGTCAGTCATTTTGGTTGGCGCTTTGGTTGGCTGGACACTGTTTTTTCAGCAAAATGTCCTATAAATAAACAGTTAATTTTGCCCAGCAAGCTTCTGCACTAGTAGCTGACAGTGCTGCATTAATCATAGGGAGTTTGTCTGTTAGCAGTGAACTCCTCATACCCCACACGGTGCAGTAGGATAGGCCTCAACCATAAGAGACACTTAGAGTCAGAAGCCCAACATCTCAGGACTCTTCACTGCAGGTTCCTCTGAAACCCACACTGTAAACGGCTATCCAAAATAAAGACATTCATGTTTGTTCAAAACTGGTCCATTTTGCAGCTGTATTCCTACATGTCAGACTTAATATTTCACCTGACCAACATTGAGAGATCCTTTATCACAAGAATTTGTTTTTGGAGGCTATCTGGATTTCAACCTGCACTTGATACAAGCAATAAATATTGTGGTTTTATCTACGTTACTAATGGAAAGAAAATGACCTTTAATTCATGTGTGTAATGTATAATGTACGATTGACATGGGCATCAACACTTTATATTCTTAACCATTTCAGGGTAAATATATTTTATAAGTACCTATTTAATCTTAATTTTGTAGTTAAATGTACTTTTTAAAACCTCAACTTGAAACCTGTTACCATAATAAAATAAATTGTATGTTGATTCAATTGTACTGGACACATTTTCCTAAACAGAAGTTTGATATAAGCAGTTAGAGCTCTAAATAAGCCATTTCTACTACATATTTGCATTTCCTTTATGTTTTCTAGTTTTCCCTATATTAATCAGAAAAATGAACTTTTCTTAAAAGTATCTTAGAAGGAAAATTTTCCTTCTGGGTTAGTCAAGTAACAGTTGGTCAAAACTTTGTCAAGAAGTTGGTTCTGTAAAGCCCACTACTAAGACTTTTCATTTTCTGTGAAGATTTCAATGTAATTACCCTAACTTATAATTGGGGTAAATTGAGATTTAGGAAGTAAGTAAGGTAGCAACATTTTATGATAAATGATTTACATTTACTAGACTGAAGTGTTGAGGTAAAGTTTTTTCAAGTTATTTCTACTTCAGTGCATAGCAGGTGATGTGCAAACCCTCCATTGTCCCTTTCACTTCCGAATTGGTTGTTTTTAAAGCATATTGTTTAATGAATTTAACTGCTCGTTTGAGTGCTAGTTTTCCTCGCATCCCAACATTCCATTCAATGTTTGACTTAAACTTTAAGCAGTTGTTATGAATTTAATTGCTAAGAGGCATAGACAGTATCCGTCATTTCAGTGGTTTTCAAACTCTGCTCACTGGGTTTCTGCGAGGGGCACCAGGCGATGGCAGAAGGACTCCGACCTTCTCTTCAACCACAGCATCTCTGCATTGCTTCTCACACCACATGGGATTTCTGCATAATGCTCAGTTATTCTATACAGAGCAGTTTTCGTTTGAAAGCAGTTTGAAAACCATTGGTATACATATTTGGAATTGATTTCAATGTGTTAACTTATACTGCAAGTATGAAAGCAGGATGTAGGTGGTACTGCACATTAAATAAGATTGATATATAACAAGTGCCTGTGTCCTGATTCAGTGTTACTGTGTCCTGTAACCTTGAAATGGAGAGGAGGTAAGAGGGCCATTTTCTTACATCTGTCTGCATTAAACCTGTGTTCAGGCATCAAGGCCCTTTGGCTTTAGGGGTGTTACTGGTCTAAAATCTTTCATTCCACTTTGCATTGGTTTATCTTGCTAAAATACAGTGTGTTAACTCTGCAAGTCAAACATGGGTAGGCCTTAAACTCCCAGTGAAAAAGGCTGTGCTGGAAACAAAAAGGTAAAGCGTTCTTACAGGAAACACACTGATAAGGTTGTCCCTGACCCCTTTGCTGGGTGAATGTGCTTTGTGGGAACCACCATTTCAGCTTTGCTTGTTGTCTGCTTCTGTCCTTCCTGGTGCTGTTTGTTGTGATATATTTTAAAAGCCATGTTCAGTGTAGTAAACACTTGTTGGTGAGCTGCCGCAGAGGTCAGTCATCTTCCCACTTCCGGCAGATCCTTGAGGATGGTGTGGACTGTGGAAGCTTTAAAGAATATTCAGTTTTTACCAGTGATAATATTTTGGGTAGGTACCATCTACTAATTATTGAAGATATATGACAGTAGGTTGTGGTGCCCACAGCTGCTATCCTGACCCTTGTTAAATGAGGTATTCCAGTCAGGGAGATGGACATGGTCGTGGCCCCTGCTCCTGCCTCTCTGGGAACTGCTGGAGGAAGACAGTTAGATAAAGAACCTTGGTGGTTTTGTGTCTTTAAAAGAAACTATATGTCCTTTAGGTCTTCATAATACTTTGTAATTTTTAAAAAGCTTTTATAGACACTTGTATTTTGACTTTAATCAGATGTCATTGCTTCTTTAATAGGTTAAGGAGGAAAAAAGATTCTGTAACAAGTGTTTTTTTTTTTTTTTTTTTTTTTTTTTTTTTTTTTTTTTTAAACTACTAAAGATTGAGCAAGGAGAAAGGAAGTGAAAAAAAAAAAAAAAAACCCTTGTTAGTCAATTTCTTCTAAAGAAGCTCTACTAAACAAGCATGTTGGCGGAAGGGTTCTGGTTCCTAAGTGACTTAACCCCTGTGTCAGAATTGATGATATGGGACAATCAACATGGAGTTCAAAAACAGGTTAGGACAAAGAACAGTCCTCGGGTTTTTTCTCAGTTCCCTCTCTGCTCTCAGCATTAATTCACAGTGATGGTGGCTCTCACATATTGGTCGTTTACTAGGTGCCAAGCACTGTGCTCAGCATGTTTCCTATATTATCCGATCTAATCCTCACAACCAACTTATGAGGTAGGTGTTATTACTCAGCCATAATCATCCTGAGACTTGACGTTTTTACTTTTGTGGTGCTGTCATTGAAACATCTCATGTAATATATTTTAGAATTAGGTAATTTCTCTCTTAGGAAAATATCCTATACTTAATGAGTATCTACGTTTCCAGATTGCCTGCCTGATTTTTATACAGGTTGGAAAATCTAGTCTGTTTTGATTTTTACTTTCAGATACAATCTTAGTGTTTTTTATGCAGCCTATTAGAAACTGAATACTGTTTTATATATATATGTGTGTGTGTGTGTGTGTGTGTGTGTGTATTTATGTAGAGAGAGAGAAAGAGAGGAAAGACTATTTCTTTTTCTATAAATACTGATGTATTTTTTTCTTCTACCCATGGGTTCTCAGTGAGTAAAGAATGTTCTGCAAGGGTGTTGACTTTCAGTCTGTTGCACACCCTCCAGGGATGGAGTCTGTGGCTGTCCTACATCCCACTGTACCTGACACCTCTCTTCACAGTTTGGAACTGAGTGCATAGCAAAAGTGGTTGTTGTGCATTCTCAGGTATATATCAACAGTTAATAAAGTCTCCTTTACTCTTTTTATTTATTTAGTTTTTTGGATTTAAAAAGGTTTATTATTAGAGTCAAAGACCTCCAGCCAGAGCAGCATGGAGGGGGTCCTTTACTGTTAAGAAGCCCTTATTTGACTTTGATATCTTGTTGTTTTATTTTATTTTATTTTTTTAAGATTTATTTTTTCATTTATTTGACAGAGTTTATTTATTTGACAGAGAGAGGAGGAGAGACAGCTAGAGAGAGATCTTCCATCTGCTGGTTCACTCTCCAGATTGCTGTAGTGGCCAAGGTTGGGCCAGGCCTAAGCAAGGATCCCGGAGTTCCGGGTGCAGGGGCCCAAGGACTTCTGCTTCTTTCTCAAGCACATTTCACAGTGGAGCAGCTGGGCCTCAAACTGGAGCCCATACTGGGATGGTGGCATTTTAGGTGGAGGCTTAATCTGTTATGCCACAATGCCAGCCCCTGTTTTGTGTGTGTGTGTGTGTGTGTGTGTGTGTGTGGTTTTTTTTTTTTAAGACTTAAAATTTTATTTATTTGAAAGGGAGAGACAGAGATCAATTTTCCGTCTGTTCTGGTTCACTCCCCAAATGGCCAGAACCGTGGGGCTGGGTTAGGCCAAGATCAGGAACAAGCTTTATCCAGGCCTCCAACCTGTGTGGCAGAGCCCCAAACACTTGGGCCATCTTCCGCTACTTTTCCGAAGCCATTAGCAGAGATTAAAATTGGAAATGGAGCAGCTGGACATGAACCGGTGCCCATATGGGATTCCAGCACTGCAGACAGTGGCTTGAAAAAGGCATTGAATCTTAAAAATAAAATAGAAATGTAGTCTTTTGCTACATAATAGAAGTATATCTTCATGACTTAAAATATAGGTCTTGGTTATAGCCTCAATGATTTACCATGGAGTTGACATGTATTGTCCACCTTTCCCTCAGTTTGGGTTTGATTGGTTTGTTCTAATGCCTAAGTAGTGTTTCTGGGATAACAGCACCAAGAGACTCACATAGTGGGTTTACTGGACATTGCAACTGTCTATGTACGAGGTTGCGTGCCTTGGTGGAAAGAAGTTGATTGTGTCAGCTCTGCAGTTCCCATTTCAGACATTGCACACTTACTGCTGTGCCCTATGTGCCTAGCCTGACATAGCCATTTCGTGCTCATCCTGATTTGCGAATTCAGGCTTTTTCACTCTCTTGGGTGATGCACTGAAGGAAAAAAAAATCTAGGAAAATAGTGTGATTTGGGTTATCTCATTTTTCCTTTAGCAGCAGGGATTTTTCTGGATATTGCACACCTCAGATTGCTCCAAGAATAACCATGAGCAGTCTGCACAAGTGCTCTCTCGATTCTTCAGGGGAGCAGTTACCTCCTTTGATTCCCGCGTTCAGAAAGACTCGCTGTCTTTGGGAAGCATTTGTTCTTCACTGTCACTGCTGATCCTTTCCCGTGTCTGCTCAACTTGGACAAGAGCCATGGCATAAAGTGGTATGAGAAACATTCACTTGGCTTGAATGAGTTTGTCTTTCTTAATTTTATTTTAAAGTTTATTTGAAAGAGTTAGAGAGAGAGAGAGGTCCTCCATCCACTGGTTCACTCCATGGATAGCCACAAAGGCCAAGGCTGGACCAGACAGAAGCCAGGAGCTTCTTCTGGGTCTCCCACATGGGTGGCAGGGCCCCAGGCATTTGAGCCACCTTCCTTTGCTTTTCCTAGCCCGTTAGGGAGCTAGCTCGGAAGCGGAGCAAGCAGGACCTACTAAACTACAGCGCTGGCCCCAGATGGCTTTGTCTTTAGCAGTAGAAACCTAACACAAGAACATGTTAGAGCCCTGAACATCCTTGGGCAGTCCATTGAGAGAATGAAAAGTTCAGTTTTTTGAACTCTGTGTTTCAGGTTTTTAATTAGAGTATGGAATTATTGGATTCAGGGAGGATACTACTTAGAGTCTGCCCAGTGCTATCTGGTCTTACACAGCAGATTTGGGGGAGCTGCAAGGACAATTGCACTGGGTTTTTTCCCCTTTATAGAGAACAGGCATCGGGTTGTCTTCATTGTTGCCCTCATCTGGCATAGACTGTTGAGACACGTGATGCTCTTGCTCCTGGTTACACATCACTGTAAGAACCTTTCAGCATTTTGAGTTTGGTGTCTTGAGGAAGTTATCTTTTCAACATTGCTTCTCTAACATGGGTTAGAGAAGTCTGTGGATAGCCTTGATTCATTTCCAGAGAATATTGGTGTGCATGTCTGTGGGTCAGAGTGACTGTAGGTGCAGGGTGATGCCCCACCTGCCAGGTGGGGCTGGCATTGGGGGGAAGCTCTATGTATCTGGCCTTGCTCTGGCGCAGTGAGAGAACAGTTTGGCAGTGTGCAGGGTCACCTTCTCCAAAGATGGCATGGCTAATTTCCTTTGATTTGTTTGACCTCATTTTACTTTTATCTTATTCTGTAAGACAGCAAAAAGTGATTCAAGTAAACATATTAGCGTCTTCTAAGATGAAGCTCATTTGTCTCTCAGTCTGGCAAAGTCTTTTAAAGCAGTTAACCCTCCAATGATTTCATCTTCTGTTTATATAGAAATAATCAGAGTTTTAAAACTCACTTTTCTTTTCATTGTTATGATAAAAGATGGTTCATTCTTGGTAAGTGTATCTTTAACAAACTAATTGGGAAGGACAGCCTTGTGTGTTGAGCATGTACAATTCTGCCAACCAGTTAAAATGTGGAAGCAAAACCTAATCCACAAAACACCTCTTCCAGGTAGATATCACTATCCCTAATTTCAGATAAGAAAACAGAGTCAAAGAAAAGTGACTTGCCCGCGGCTGCCCTGTGAATACAGAGCAGAGCTGTGAGTCAGCCCCTGTCTGTGGAGGTCCAGTGACTCCACACCACCCACCTTCCCATCATGTCACACTGACTATGTTTTCATGGAATATTGAAGCCAGATATTTAACTGAGACAATGCAGACAACCACTCTTACCTGTTAAAATCCAAACTAACCCTCTTTTTTGTCTTTTAATTTTGATTCATTTATTAGAGAGGCAGAAAGAGTTCCCATTATTTACTGCTTCGCTCCCTAAATGCCCGCAACAGACTGGGGAACTGAAGCCACGAGCTGGGAACTCATCCAGGTCTCCCACATAGGTGACAGGGATGCAAGCGCTTGAGCCGTCATTACCAGGGTGTGCCTTAGTAGGAAGCTGGACTCAGGAGCAGAGCCAGGTGTTGAATCTAGGTGCTCTGATACAGAATGCAGGCTTCCTAACCAGAGTCTTTACCACTAGGCCAAATATTCACCCCCTTACTATTTTTTTAATGTGAAGCAAAAAGCAGTTGAACAAGAAAACTTTGGTGAAACAGTTGGAACTGCCCCTGAAACTGAAGAATTCTAGAACATCAGAATAGGCTGTAAACCAAACCGTTAATATGATTCACTCTCGCTGGTCAGATTTCGTTCCTTTGTTTTAAAGAGCAGGCCTCTGCATGCGTGGGACATAAGTGTGTATTTTTTAGCAGTCGGAATCTCCAAGTGCCTGTGCTTACGTCGGCCACTTTGGTTCAGGTCTGGAGATCTCTGTAATCAGTGTCTGTGGTGGGGTTTGTGACTCAGACTTCTCATGAGAGTGCTTTCCTGATGACCTGGCATTTCTCCCTCTGTTTTGGAAAATCAGGAGAAAAAAAAATGGACTGTTCACAACATCTCAGAAGAGCTTGGTACAATTATGCTTCCTAGAGGAAGGAGCCAGTGGGCAGAAAGAAACCCAGTCCTCAGCATGAGAGGGTTTTCCAGTAACTGCTGTGGCTAGATGTGTGGATGTGGTCTACATTTCCTGTTTATGTATGTGGAGCTACAGTAGTGAAAAGTATTTAGACTTGGATTTTTTGGTGGTAGCAAGGGGCATTGGTGGAAGAATGGAAATACCATTGACCTCCCAAAAAATTCAGTTATTTGCGAATATTGTGAAATGGCATTAAAAACTGCGCTTGCAACAGTCCTTCCCTCTGTCTACTGCTTGTTTTAATGCTCACTTATTTTTACCTTTTGGCATTAAAATACAATAAACCTGTCAATGATTGTATGTCTGTGTTTTCTTTTATATCAATAGTAACTTAAGTATCGTGTCTCTGCAGTTCTGTAGCTGTAATCATTAGTATTATCCTTCAGGACAAAAAACATCTGCTAACAATCTGATTTAAAGCTAAGCCAACTTTATGTTCAGACATTACGCTGATAATATTTTTAGCAGTGTTATACAGTGGAGGTCCAAATTGGATTAGACTTTTGCATTGAATTCCAAAGTGTTGGTAAGTCTAGCACATACCATACAGTCTTGCTAAATTCTTGTGGATATCTTTTTTTTTTTTTTTTAACCTGTCTGTCTGTCAGTATCTCACGTAGAGGTCATTTCTTGAATAAAACAGGATGGCCTGAAAATTCATAGTTAGCAATTCCTGAAGAAGAATATGAGTTACACTGGCTTTAGCATGAGTCTACTTCATATCACCAGTTCTACTGGAAAAATCAAGGACTTGAGCATAATTACATCAAGTGAAGCCCTTATGTGTGGTTGAATGTGATATGTTGGAATGATTTTTGGTTGCCTTTTTAGTTCATTGTCAGTCCTTTCATGTTTGTGGTGTGTCTGTGTACGTCTGTGTGTTTGGTAACTATGAATTGAATAGATGACTTCTTATTTTATGTTTTAGGCCAAGATTGACAGACACCTAAATATTCATGACTTGAGAATATTCTGCAGCTATAAATTTTGAACCATTGATGTGCAAAGCAAGACCTGAAGCCCACTCCGGAAACTGAAGTGAGGCTTGCTAAAACCTGTAGATGGCCTCACAGTTGTCTGTTTACAAAGTAAACTTTACATCCAGGGAATGAAGAGCACCCACCAGCAGAAGACTTTGCAGAACCCTTGAATTTCATGTACTGTTAAGTGTTTTTTTAATGCGTGTATGAAATGTAGAAAGTTGTAAAAGAAATAAATTAGGAGAGATTACTTTGTATTGTACTGCCATTCCTACTGTATTTTTATACCTTTTGGCAGCATTAAATATTTTTATTAAATAGACTATGTTGGTTTGTGTGCATTATCTTAGGAGAGCTCTGTTTCACATAATGAATCTTTCCCTCTGGGTTGATTTTCAGATTTTCATAACTAGCAATTAACACAAATTGAGATGGGTTCATGTTGGTTACTTGCTTTATACCACCCAGTAGTCTTTCTATCCTAATATATTGTCCGGATGAAAGCTACAGAGAAGTTAATAATATTCCTATACTTACCTGGAAAAATATTCAAATACGGATGGTAGTGTTGCCTTAAGGTCAGAATTAATTTCAAATAAGTGCCGCCATTCAATACCGTTTAGCAAATTGGTGTTACCCTGCATCTGATGTTTTGCTTTCCCCAAACATTTCCTATTTCAAGGAAGCCAAAGATTCATTCCTGAGGCCTGTGCCCTTCCTGTTTCCTAACCAAGTGATGGGTTTGGGCTGTGTATCCCATCACTTTTCACTTGTCAGATTTTTTTTTTGTCCAGAGACACTCAAGACATCATATTAATAGCACCTTAATTAAAAGTATTAGCACCATTCGTAAATATGAGAGTGCTTCAAGAAAATTCTTGAGAAGTCTGTGGTTTTAATTTCATTTTCCTTGCACTTTTTGATGGACCCTCATCTAAATGATTTACATTATGTTTCTTTTGGCCTCATGTGCCGGACTTCCTGGGTCTTCTCTCGGGGTCAGTAAATGTTGTCCCTGGCCAGATCTTTCCTAAAGGACGCATGGGGAGTTGGCTGCACAGAGGCACGCAGCAAGGCCGTCTTCCGCTCCATCAGCAGAGCAAGGGGAGGAATGTCTGCCCTCGCTGCCTCCGTCTCACTCCCCCCCACCCCCAGGAAGGCCGCTGGAGCTGGGGCTGAGCCGTGAGCTGGGGCTCTCCCCGCCAGGACTTCTGGCAGCAGCTTTCAGGCCTCTTGGGAAGCTTTCTCCTTAGACTTCATGAGGCTTTTTCTGGATTTTCTTCATCTCCATCCTGCCTGGCTCTTGCACATTTGTGTTTCCAAGGACTCCACCTCTGGGCTTTGCTCCGAGTCTGTAGACACAACCTTAGATGACGGCTTCTTGGCACAAGTCTGTAATTCTCATACCTGTAAGCTGACTCCATGCAACTTCAGCTCCGGGCCAGACCTCACTTCAGGTGTAACCCAAATACCTAACACTTCCCTACGTGGTCTTGGCATAAGTTTTTCCACCTCCGAAGTTGAGTATCACCTCCCTCTCCCATCTTATTTTCCTCCTACATTCCAGTGTGTTTGGTGTCCCTCTCAAAAAAAAAAAAAAAAAAAAAAAAAAAAACCGAAATTAAATATTGATTTGTTTATTTTAAAGGCAGAATTAGAGGAAGAGACAGAGATACAGAGGTAGATGCTGATCACTCCGTAAATGGCCACAATGGTCCAGGCTAGGCCAGGCCAAAGCCAGGAGACAGGAATTCTTTGTTCCTGTCTTTGTGTAGATGTCAGGGCCATCTGCTTTCCCAGGCACATTAGCAGGGAGCTCGATTGAAAGTGGAGCATCTGGGACTTGAACTAGTGTTCATATGGGATGCTGGCATTGCAGGCATTGGCTTAAACCACTCTGCCACAATACTGGCCCCGAGCAACTTAAAAAAAAAAAAAAAAAAAAAAGTACTTCAGGGGCCCAGTGCTGTGGTGTAGCGGTAAAGCCACTGCCTGCAGTGCCAGCATCCCATATGGGCCCCGCTTCGAGTCCCAGTTGTTCCATTTACCCTCCAGCTCTCTGCTATGGCCTGGGAAAGCAGTAGAAGATGGCCCAAGTCCTTGGGCCCCTGCACCCTTGTGGGAGACCTGGAAGAAGCTCCTGGCTCCTGGCTTCAGATCAGTGCAGCTCTGGCCATTGCAGCCAATTGGAGAGTGAATCAGTGGATGGAAGACCTTTCTCTCTGCCTCTCCTCTCTGTAACTCTGATTTTTCAAATAAATAAATCTTAAAAAAAAAAAAAAAAAAAAAAAAAAAAAAAAAAAACTTGAAAGGCAAAGAGAGATACAAGCAGATCAACCTGCCTGGTTCACTATTCAAAAGCCTGCAACAACCAGGGCTGGGCCACACCAAAGGCTAGAGCTGGAAACAGTCGAGGATTCCCGTATGAGTGCAGGAACCCAAAGCCATCTCTTGCTGCCTCAGTGTACACATAAGCAGGAAGCTAGGTTGGAGCAGAGCAGGACTTGAAACCAGGCATTCAGATAAGAGACACAAGTCTCCGAAGTGGTAGCTTGACTGCTACCACCATATACCCAGTGGTGTGGGGCCTGCACTGTGGCGTAACGTTTGTAAAGCCGCTTCCTGCAGAACCAGCATCTCATATGGGTGCTGGTTTGAGACCTGGCTGCTCCACTTGCGATCCAGCTCTCTGCTATGGCCCGGAAAAGTAGAGGACAGTGGCCCAAATGATTGGGCCTCTGCACCCGCATGGGAGACCCGTAAGAAGCTCCTGGCTCCTGGCTTCGGATTGGTCCAGCTCCGGCCGTTGCGGCCATTTGGGGAATGAACCAGCAGATGGAAAAATCTCTCTACCTTTGCCTCTCGGTGACTCTGCCTTTCAAATAAATAAATAAATCTTTTAAAAAGTGGGATGGAGCTGGCGCTGCGGCTCACTAGGCTAATCCTCCGCCTTGCAGCACTGGCACACCGGGTTCTAGTCCCGGTTGGGGCGCCGGATTCTGTTCGGTTGCCCCTCTTCCAGGCCAGCTCTCTGCTGTGGCCCGGGAGTGCAGTGGAGGAAGGCCCAAGTCCTTGGGCCCTGCACCCCATGGGAGACCAGGATAAGTACCTGGCCCCTGCCATCGGATCAGCGTGGTGCGCCGGCCACGGCGGCCATTGGAGGGCGAACCAATGGCAAAGGAAGACCTTTCTCTCTGTCTCTCTCACTCTCCACTCTGCCTGTCAAAAAAAAAAAAAAAAAAAAAAAAGTGGGATGGAGTTGTGGGGTAGCAGGTAAAGCTTCCACCTGCCACACCAGCATCCCAAATGGACACTGGTTTGAGTCCTGGCTGCTCCATGTCCAATCCAGATTCCTAATAATGACCCAAGTGTTTGGGCCCCTGCCACCCATGTGGGAGACCCAGATGAAGCTCCTGACTCCTGGCCTGACCCAACCCCACCCTAGCCATTGCAGCCACCTGAGGAGTGAACCTGCAGATGGAAGCTTGCACTCTTTCAAGTAAATAAATAACCTTTTAAAATAATAAAAAAAAAAAATAGAGATTTGGGAACGGGTCTTTGGCATAGCAGTCAAGGCACTCGTATCCCGTGTTAGTGTCTGCATGTGATACCTGGCTCTGCTCCTGCTTCCAGTTTCCTGATAATGCAGACCTTGGGGAACAGCAGGTGACTCAAATGCGTGGATTCTGCCACTCGCCTCCGAGACCTGGCTGGTTGAGTTCCTAGCCCGTGGCTTCAGCCTGGCCCAACCCTGGCTGTTGCAAGCATTTGAGGAATGAAGCAGTGGATGGAAGCGCACTCTTTCTCACACCTCTGCCTCTTAAATAAATAAAATTTAAAATAAATATTTGACTGTTATTCTCAAAGTTTTCTTGTGGCTCTTAGATGATGTGCATGCTATGTGCACCATTCCTTCTGGTGGTTACCTTTCCGTCCCTAACGGGCACCCTGAATTACAGCTGTGCCAAGCCATTTAGAATTAGTGGAATATTCATCGAATACTGCACACGTGCTGTATGCCAGGTGCTATTACAGGCACTGGGTGTTCTGTGATTGCAGGGGAAACCCGATTGTGGTCTCCAGCAGTCTTCGGGGAGAATTAATTAGCCTGAGCATAAGCAAGTAGCTAATGTGCTGTGATGGAAATAGAACAGGTGCCTCGTTGGCTGCGGAGTAATGAGCTTTCCAGAACCTGGGAACTGAGGCGGACACAGGAGTCCTTGAGCACTGGATGTTCTTTGGGAATTTTGGAATGGCCACAAGGTTGGGAAGGACAGTGGAAAAGATGAATCAAGCACTCCCTGGCCATCGACAAGACACTGGCAAGCGCTCCCCTGGTGGCCCTGGAGGGCAGACGAAGCTCCTCCGAATCAGCTACGTGCCCTTGCTCAGCGCGATCACCCTACTGCACTAAAATGTTACCAGAACTAACTGAAGCAGAAACTTCTTGGGATCTTGTGGGTGTCTCCATGGATCTCTTCCCATCCACTCCTAGCCCACCTGGAATGCTGCAGCTGTGGTCAAAATGGAGTTGGTCAGGGCTGGCGCTGTGGCGTAGCAGGTAAAGCCACCACCTGCAGTGCCAGCATCCCATATGGGCGCCGGTTCTAGTCCCAGCTGCTCCACCTCCAATCCCTCTCTGCTAATGGCCTGGGAAAGCAGTAGAAGATGGCCAAGTGCTTGGGCCCCTGCACCTGCATGGAGACCTTGAAGAAGCTCCTGGCTCCTGGCTTCGGATCGGCGCAGCTCCAGCCATTGCAGCCATCTGGGGAGTGAACCAGCGGGTAGAAGACCTTGCTTGCGTGCTCTCTCTCTCTCTCTCTCCCCTCTCTCTGCCTCTCCTTCTCTTTCTTTGTAACTCTTTCAAGTAAATAAATAAATCTTTTTTTAAAGGAGTTGGTGTGAGACTCCTGCTGTAGGGAGTGAGCAATATAAAAAGCCACGCTAAGTGTGGAGCTAGACAGTAGATTGTTAGAGACAGCAGAAGCTGTTAGTGGACCGTGCTGAGCAAAGGGAAAA